TAAGGCAAATGCCTTTCTGATAACTCTGAAAACAAGATCTGCTGAACACAGATTCCAAGTCTTAGAGTTAACAGTTAATATCCTAAGTGCAGAAATGTAAATTGCAGTAAAGTAAATGACACCGGATATTTTTATAGTGGTTCAAGGAACAACGCGTTCCTCTAGTCCACTGTTCCACTAGCTTTGAAGTAGATCGGTTACAAAGCTTAGTCCCTAGCACTTAAGAAGCACTCCTCGTCTTCTTCAAGCCTAGATGTCACCCGGGATGCAGTCCTGCTTCCTGATGACTGGTCCTTTCACTCAGCTTCCCGGAAGTATCACCACTTCACTACTGCAGTTACTTGGACGCCCTTCTTTGCAGAAGATCCTTTGAAAAACACAATGTTTTTCCTCCAACTAGCTTCGTCACAATTGATGTGTTATGAAGATCTTGAAGTGTTGAAGAACAGGATGAACTTTGCTCGTTGTTGGGGATGAAAGATTTGGAGTTTGAATCTTCCCAACGTAGGACTTTTCTTGTAGAGTGTTATGAAGGTTGAATCTCAAGAAGTATGTTCAGATTAATGATTTGAGCAAAAGTTCTGCGAAGAGTTCTTGGAGAAGTTGTTTTCCTGTTCTTCGGTGTGTAGCTTATATACTGAGGTTGTCTGCCCGTTGGAGGAGGAGACAACTGCATTAAATGTGCGTACAGTTGACTTGACCGCCGTTTTGGAAGGTTTCTATTTTTATAATATATCTTCCCGGATTCTTTGGTCAATCATTTGCAATCAATCCTTCAGCGTATCAGGCTCATTTAATGTGCATTAAATGCTTTCCTTTCATGCACCGTCTTCTAGCCGTTGGATGATTTTACCCGTTGGATTCATAGTTGTTGGATGTTGCTTGAAATCTTCTAAGTGTTAGTCGGACTCTGATCAGGCTCTTCTGATGTGTTGGATTCTGATGGCTTTCTAATGAGTTGAGTTCTGATGGCTTTCTGATCTCTGACTGAACTCTAACTCTGACTCTGATAGATCCGCTGATGAGTGCCTCTGATCTGTAGTTCTCATCAGTTATCAGATGTCCAAATTTATCAGCAGCTCTCGTGGTGCAACTCTGATGGACTTCTGCTAAGAGAACTCTGATGGAGCAGTTCTCGCAGAGCAAGTCTGGTCGAGCAGTTCTGATGCACTTCTGATCTGATCCAAAGCAGAGCAACTCTGATCGTCGACTACACTAATACTTACAGTTGAAAAATTCTAATACATAAAATCTAATTGGGGGTACTCTAACTTCCTAATCCTATAGCATCATCAAAATCTAATTACATTTATTCCTTACATCAAGATATACTCAATGATATGTCATTAGTAGAAACAACAAAGCGGCAATTGTTAAAAGTTAGAGTTGATGGGTGGGGTTCTCATTTGAGAAAGATCTCTTCATTATGTGAGAAGTATGAAGTTTCAATGCTTGATATGGAAGCAAACTTTGTTAACCCAAAGAGGCCACGACAAAGAACTAATATTACCAATCGGCATCATTATGAGTTTGAATGTTTTAATACTGTTATGGATTTGCAAATCAAATAATTTGATGATCGCTTTGATGAGGTAAATTCTGAATTGCTTACTTACATGGCTTCTTTGAGTCCGATTGATTATTTTCGTGAGTTTGACCCTTTGAAATTGATGAGGTTTGCTGAGTTTTATCCATAGGATTTTAGTTGTGTTGAACGCAGTAGTCTTGAGCATGAGCTTAGTGTTTACATTGATAATCTCCTAGCAGATGACAGGTTTCGTAACTTGAAAAGTCTTGGTGATCTTGCTTAAGTGATGGTGGACACAAGAAAACATCTTTCACACCCTCTCGTATATAGGCTTTTAAAGCTAGCTCTGACTTTGCCTGTTGCCACCACAACTGTTGAGAGATGCTTTTCTACTATGAAAATAGTGATAACTAATTTGCGTAACAGAATTGGTGATCAGTTTCTCAGTGACCGTTTAGTTTGCTTTATTGAAAGAGATGTGTTTGAAACAATAACAAATGAAACTGTAATAGATCTCTTTCCTGTATGTGTGCCTTTTGACATTGTAATATACTTTATTTCATTATAATGTTCTCGTGTTTTTTGCTACATCTATTTGCTGTTCAGATTTTTTTTATTAAGTATTTTTATTTTATATTGGCTTTATGTTCATCATCTTAATCCGCCCCCAACACCTTCATTTCCTGGATCCGCCACGGAGTGTTGGTCTCTATCACTGTCAAACCAGCATGGATGCAACAAGTAATTGAGAGCTACAAACAAGATGAATCCATCTTAAAATTAAAGGAAAAACAAGAAGAACCAACATCCACCCATATTTTGAGGTTCTAGATGAGATTGTGAGGCGTCTTGGAAGGGTGGCAGTAGGTACCACAACAAACCTAAGGGACACAATCTTTAAGGAATTGCATGCCTCGGCTGTTGGGGGACATTTTGGCATGCATGGCACTCTTATGAGAATGGAAAAGGGTTTTTACTAGCTAAAGATGAAGGAGGATGTTACACTTTGAGTCAAGGAATGTGAAACTTGTGCAAGAATTAAACATGAGGGGGGGGGGCTATCCTGAACTGCTGCAGCCCGGACTCATACAAGACCAGGCTTGGATCCATATTAGTATGGATTTTATTGAGGGCGTACCTAAGTCACATGAAAAAATGTCATTTTGGTATAGTAGTGGTTGATAGATTGACCAAATTTGGGCATTTTATACCACTCTCACATCCTTATACTGCAGCTACAGTGGTTAGGGTGTTTATGGATCATATATTAAAATTACATGGTCAGTCCCTAAACATATTGAATGATAAGGATGTGGTATTTGTGGGTGAATTCTGAAAGGAATTGTTCAAACAAATGGGAACACACTTGAGCTACACTTCTTCTTATCATCCTCAGACATATGGGCAGACTGTCAATGTCCGACCAAAACCCAAAATAATGGTTCAACTGGATAACCATAGCTGAATATTGGTATAACACCAATTACCATACCAGCCTCACAACTACCCCTTTTGAAGCTTTATATGGTTACCCCCCCACCAACCCTGTCATTACCCATATCATCAACCTTAACTAATGCAGAGGTTAAGGACCTTATAACACAAAGATAAAGAGAATGCAGCAAGAGTTAAGGGAAATTCTTCAATTGGCTCGGGAAAGGATGAAGTACAATGTTGATACACATGCAGTTAACAGAGAATTTAAGGTGGGGGAAAGGGTATATATAAACTTACAGCCTTACAGACAGAAATCAGTACATCACAGAAGGAATCGGAAATTGTGTGCTCACTATTATGGATCCTACACAGTCTGGGAACGAATCAGAAAGGTGACTTACCTACTGGACTTACCTGAGGAAGCCAAGATCCATCCGGTTTTCCATGTTTCTCTACTGAAATGTTGCATTAGTCCACATGCAATCACCTCCACGGATCTCCCTACAGTTGGTGAAGATGGCGGTCTAAACACTTTGACCATAACGCAAGGGCCAGGTATGCTTGAGGATAAGGATCTTAAGAAAGGAAGGGGTATTATTATGAACGGCTTAGGAGAGAAAGATCAAACATGCTGAAGCGGGAAACAAAGTTGAAGAAAAGCTGGATTGATCCTATTAATAATGGGTCAGAGTTAATATCTATTTGGGCTTATTATCTTAAATAATAAATTGTATCTATTGTGGGCTTCAATTGTTGAGACATGCTATTATATTGTACGAATGAGTAATATCAAAATGCTCTCTCTCTCCTTCACTCCTCTCTGGCATTTTGTTTCTTCCCCAAACTAACCCATACAACACGACGAACCTTTACAATAATGCTTGTTAGTCATGAAAGTGATTGGACTAGATCAATTTAAGAAATTTAATTGAGTTAAATTTAATATATGACTATATCCACTCATTCAAATTTCTAATGTTATGATAAGTTGTTAATCACCAAAGTGATTTAAATGGTTAACTTAGAAATTTTTATTGAGAGGATTGGTCATGAATAGTTAAATTTAAGTATTTACATATAAAGAGTTTGTTAGTCACCAAAGTGACCTGACTCATAAGGTTAGTAAATAATTAAATTTTATGTAATTACACTTCTACAACCAATATGATTTATTGTATATAAATATAATGCTTGTCAGTCACCAAAGTGGTCTGGCTGAATGTTATTAGACCAATAAATCTGAAAGGTAAAATTGATTTTTCATAATTTTAGGATTCTAAATAATATAAAGTAATGCATTCAGATTATATTGCCATAAGAACACCAAAAGGTGGATCATGCATGTATAATTTATTTAAGAGACTAATTTTTATACTTAAATTAAATTGGGTTAATCTCCAAAGACAACACTCATTGAGTCATGTATAATTAATTTTCTAATTTTAGGATATTATTTGGCATCATTTTATGTAATATGTAAGAATTACTCAAAGGTGAACTTAGCATATATGTTTAGTTTTTCTAAGAATGAATTTGTATTAGTTAATTCAAAGCATTAATAGTAAGCATCTATATTGTTGTCGTTAAATCTCTTATCATCCAAGAACGATTTAATTAGGGAATTCATGGTAGAAATCAAGTCAAACAAGATTGATACACATTTAGGTTTTGTGTGTTTTGAATCAAATCTCATAGAAGTTTCTAATAACACATGGTGGTTAGATTTTGGTGCTTCTACTCATGTTTCTCACATTATAAAGGGATTTAAGTTCATCCAACCAATAAGGGGAAATGAACAATGCCCCTGTTTGGATATCAGCGGATTTGGCCAATCCGCCAATTTTTTACAAAGTGAAACGCTGCAAAAAGCAGTGGTTTCGTGTGAACCCTCCCAAAAACAAACGGAGCCTATATCTATTTATTAGGAATAGGACGAAAGCACACTTCGAAGGTATAGGGACCTATAGATTGATATTAGACGCTGGATGTCTTTTAGATCTCGATAATTGTCTTTATGTTCCCGATTGTGCTAGAAATCTTGTTTCAATTAATAGGATGGGTGCTTTAGGATTTCATATCAAGTTTGGGAACAATACATTTTCATTATTTAAGGATAATTTTATTTATGAATCTTGTGTGTTGGTTGATCCCCTGTATCATTTTAATCTTGATTTGTAATTTACTGAATCTCTAATTAATGTTGAAGATAATGTGGGAGTTAAGTGTAGTGCACTAGATGAGGACTCTCGGCTTTCTCGTAGCACCAACGTCTCGGTCATAATTCCAAAGATATGCTAATGAGGTTCGTTAAGAATTATATTTTACCTTAATTGGATTTTAGTGACTGTGATGTGTGTGTTGATTGAATTAAAGGAAAGCAAACCAAACACACAGTAAAGGAGGCGTCCACAACGACCATAATTAACTAATATCCTAGCCATAGTAAAATACTAGCCATAATAAAATACTACACTTAAATCATATCTCTCAATACCCCCTCAAGATGGCGCATGGGGATTCAAAATGCCCAACTTGTGTAGGAGGGTCGATCTGAAACTGAGTCTTGCCAAGAACTTTAGTAAGAATACCCGCCAGTTGAATGTGGTAGGAACATAGTTGGGAGCAATAATCTTGGCCTGAATAGCATCGCGAACAAAATGATAGTCAACCTCAATATGTTTGGTGCGCTCATAAAACACATGATTCTGAGCAATATGTGGAGCAGATTGATTATCACAGTATAGGGGATTAGCCTGAGGATGTTGAACTCCAAGACTCAAAAGAAGATCTTTGAGCCATATTAACTCACAAGGTGTCATTGTCGTAGAGCGGTATTCAGCTTCAGTGTAAGAACGAGCAATAGTGGATTGTTTCTTAGCTTTCCATGAGATGGGTGAATGACCCAGAAAAACCAGCCAGCCAGAAAGTGATTTTCTAGCAACCATGCAAGCAGCCCAATCTGATGAGTGCCCTATGAACCAACTGAGTCCTAAGTGAGGTAAAAGTCTGGGGGTGAATAGATTTTTAAAATCTTTTCATTTCTCAATCCTTTTTCCTCTAACAGAATATTCAAACATACATCGGAAGTCTTGACCTCAAGAATGTGACACTTTATTGAAACAAAGGTTATGACCTTTTTAGTTGTGAGAGAGATGGGTCAAACATGGTACACAATCTAGGGGACCTAACACAATTAGAGTCACACCAACCAGTAAGAGATAAATCACTATCAGCTCGAAGAAGAATCCCTTTCTCAGGTGCTCCTTTTAAATACCGCACAACTCGCAGAGCAGCAGTCCAATGATCACTGAGGGTTTTTTGCATAAATTGAAAGGGAATGTACACTGAATATGTGATGTCTGAACGAGTGACAGCCAAATAAATCAGTCTTTGAACAAGACGGAGATAGTGTTCAGGTTCCCGAAGGGGTGGTTCGGTAGCCGTCAGCAGTGTGTGATGTTGCTCGATCGGAAAAGAGGCAAGCTTCGCCCCCAACAGACCCATTTCAGTAATGATATCCAATGCATATTTTTTTGGTTAAGAAATATTCCAGTCGAGCTGCAGGCAACTTCGATACCCAGAAATACTTGAGGGTGCCCGAATCCTTCATATGAAAGCATGGATTAAGATATGATTTAAAACTAGTAATAGTAGTGCCATCATTGCAGGAGATGAGAAGATCATCTACATAAACAAGAACGTTAAGCTGGACAACCCCTCGAGTAAGAGTAAATAAGGAATAGTCAGCATATGATTGAAGGAAGCCATAACTCTTGAGAGCAATGACCAATTTAGCAAACCAGCATCGCGGAGCCTGTTTAAGTTCATATAATGATTTATGAAGTCGACAGACCAAGGCGGAATCGTTAGTTTTATAGCCCGGAGGGATAGTTATATAGACCTCCTCATGCAAATCGCCATGTAAAAAAGGCATTATGTACATCTGTTTGATGCAATTCCCAATGCTTAGTTGATGCTATGGCAAGAAAAGTGTGCACTGTCACCGTTTAGCAACCGGAGCAAATGTTTTTGTATAATCCAAGCCAGCAAATGGCTCTGATGCCATAATAACTTTATGTATGTTACATAGGTATGCTAATTAGGAAGAAGAGATAGAAGATGATATTGCTTTCATGTTCTTTATGGACCCAACCGGCCAATATAAACAGCTGCAGAATTGTGTGTGTGTGTATCCAGCCCCTGTTGTTTGACGTGTTGGCTGTTGCCCGTGCTTGGAATACAGATAAGGTGTATTGTGTACGTCCGATGGAATTTTTTGGATAGACTTAGTTGGACTTTTGTGGGGTGTGGTTGAAATGGGTGGAGTGTGTAGAATTATATGGAGTAACTTGAATTTTAAAACTATATGGAGTTGATGGATGGTTTACCCGGGGGGTATCTTATCCGAGGGGTTATTGCGGGGATAACTAGAGAGAAGTCAGAGCAAATAGGAGGAGAGAGAGTCGATTGTATTAAATGAACTCAGCGTGTGGAGTTGAGATGTAGATGTCGATTTACAAGGAGAAATGGGCTGCTATTTATAGCAGCAATAAATGCGATGAGAGGACACGTGTCAGTAATCCAACGGCCGAAGGGTCATATCAGCCTGGTGGCACCGGCAGTGGTACGTCAACCGCATTGAATGCGGTTGGAGGATGCGACGTGGCATTAAATGCGGTGGTTGGCTGTCTCTAAAAGGAATCTTCGATGATTGAGCCTGTTCAGCCGAAGGCTCCTTGTTCAGCCGAAGGCTCCTTATGTAGCCGAGGGCTTCTTATGCAGCCGAGGGCTCCTTGTGTAGCCGAGGGCTCCCTGTGTAGCCGAGGGCTCCATGTGGCAAGGACCCTTGTGTGGCCGAAGGTTTGGTTCAGCCTTGGTCCAGTCGAAGGCTTCTCTGATGCCGAGGGCTTGATAGTGCCGAAGGCTCATGTTTTTCGCCGTTTTCTCCCAGTAGCTTCTTATGCCAGAGAAGGCTATCCTGTGAGTTTTGGAGCCTTCGGCCAAGGTAGCCGAAGGCATCCCAGTGTGTGTTTTGGGCTATGTTGAGGCTTGGGCCGCTGCATTTTGGGCCTGAGTTGTTCCCTGGGCCCAATGAACTTATGCAGGAGAAGTAGGAGTCTGTGGGCCGGGGGTTCCTGGGCCATATACTCCATCAGGAGTCCCTCACTCCTTTTGTCGAAAGGTATTTGAGGGAAAAGGAGTAGATGTGTTGATTCTTCTGGAGGCTTCATCATTTCGCTGGGTGCCTTTGCTGGAGAACTTGTCTTCTGCTAATTTGCCGAAGGCTTCCCTCAGTCCCTCACATGTCGAGGGTTTTCTGAGGGAAGGTGTTCGTAACCTTCGCATGTTCGCCGAGGGCTCCCTTCATTCCCTCACATGTCGAGGGCTTTCTGAGGGCAGTATAACACCTGTATGACCGCAGAAGGCTTTCCTCAGTCCCTCACATGTCGAGGGTTTTCTGGGGAAAGCATAGGTGTATTGCCTGCATGTGTTGTGATGAGGGCTGCCTCATTTCCGCAAGTGACTTGTGGAAACTTTTGATATTCTGTCTCCGCCGAAGGGTGTGATTCCCGAGGGGTGTGTCCCAGTCCCTCACTCCTTTTGCCGAAAGGTACTTGAGGGAAAAGGAGTCATGATGAGTTGATTAGCCCCCGAGGGGTGGTAACATTGATAGGCCGAAGGCTTATGTTGCTACGGGCTCGAAGGCGTTTTGGTGAAATTTGCTGGTAGAAGGGTGTGGTGAGCGATAGCCGGAGGCTACCATTCGAGGGCACGCCAGTGTTGCCGATATGTAGCCGTTGAAATAGAGCCGTTGCAAGAGGGGTCGACGTGGCCGGCTGCCGTTGGTTGAAGGTGGGCGGTATCCACCTATTGGCTGAACCGGCGGCCCGTAATGATGGGCTTTCGAATCGAGGCCCAGTTCTCGAGGCCCAGTTTCCTATAAATACCCCAGAGCCGAGTTCATTTCTTCTTGTGCGTTCAAAAACTCTAGCGAAGCTCTGCTGAATTTTCTAGAGAGAGAAACTCCAGCCCTCGACCAACGTGATTCTTAAGGTCAGTTCTTCATCCATTCATCGCTTTCTTAGCATATTTTGCTATCCCATCCTTAGATCTAGTGTTCAGAGCCTTTAGGAACCCTCGGTTAGCACTCCTTAGTAGCCCTCTCATCTCGATAGTTTCAATTCCCTCTAATTATGTCATCCGAGAGTGATTCACAAAACATATCGGAGGAGATCCCGATACAATCCGAGAGTCTTTCGGATGTGGAGTCCTCCAGCGGGCAACCATCGGAAGGAAATGATTTAGCCGTAGCCCAGGAGGTGCAGAGCAGCCTTCGGATCGAGCTTGAGGCCGAGGAGTTCGAGCAGGTGGCTGAGGACGAAGAGATGGCTCTCGCGCTTCAAGTGGCCGAGGAGGAAGAGGAGAAGGAGCGGCAGGAGGTGACGGTTGCCGTGTTGCCCTCCCGCGGTGCTGGTGAAGCGAGCAGTTCTCGGCCGCTGAACCCGGAGCCCCTGAGGGTTGCTCCCGGGAAGAAAAGGAAACTAAAGGCTGCCCCAAAGAAGAAGCAGGCAGCCGTCGACGCCGGGCGGCCTGTTGGGATACCCGAGGGGCACTCGTACTTGGATACTGCCGCCCTCGAAGTGAAGACTTCGGCTTCGGGAGCCGAATATCAAGCCCTCCAGGTGCTTGTAGGGCCGTCGGCACAGGTCGTGGAACCGGGACCCAATGACCTGCTATCTCATCCTCCTGAGGGGTGTTTCTCGGTACACATGCTGTCGGTGGAGCTAGGGCTCAGATTCCCCCTCCACCCCTTCGTCGTTGAGTACCTGCGGTTCGTGAAGTTAGCCCCCTGCCAACTCACGCCGAACAGCCATTACTATCTGGCGGGGTTCCTGGCCCTTTGCGGCAGCCGGGGGGTGACCGCCACATTGGAGCAATTCTTTCTTTCCTTCAACCTCTGCCGGGGAGGCCATTCTCACGCTGGAGGGTACGCCAATCTGCAGCAGGTCCCGGCCTGGAAGCTTTTCTCAGAGACGCCCTCTTCCCATAAGGAGTGGAAGGAGAAGTTTTGCTACATTCGGGTGGCCGAGAGCCCGTTCTCGGGGGGCCTCAATAACTATTTCAAGAGGCACCCGAAGGTAGGCAGCGCGGCCCTGCAGAAGGCCGGAAAGAAGCTCATTGAGAAGCCCACGGGCTCAGATAAAGTGATCACCATCAAGGAGGCTACCCTGCCGGAGGAATTATATCTGCTAGGCTTCCGGCGATTCCGTCTTGCCGGGGAGGATGCGGAGAAATACCCCCCGATTGACCGAGGGTACCAGAGCTCCGGAGGTTGTTGCCGAAGGCTCTTGCAGCCTTGTACTTAGAACTTTCTTCCTTTGATTTGTTTTGACTCTAACCTCCCTCTCTTTTTTTTTAGGTGATATCATGGATCCCAAAGCCTTCGCCAAGTTATCGAGGAAGCTGGCCAAAGTGCCTAAGAAGAAAGAGGAGGCCTCGTCCCTCCAGAAACCCGTGGATGAGTATTTCAAGGAGGTCGAGGCTCCCAAGAAGCCGGAGGGCGAGGAACCGTCGAAGGAGGTTGCCGCCGATGACGCTGATGCCGGGGGCTCCCAGGTTGGGGAGCTTAAACGGAAGAATGCCGGGAAGGGCGTGGCGCCTCCGGAGAAGAAGAGGAAGGGAACCGGGGGGAAGAAGGATGCCCCCTTGGTGATCCTTGATGAGCCCCCCTCCTTTCAGGCCTCGGAGTCCGCCCCCCTCGAGGATTTTGAAGAGGGCGCCTGGCCCCGGGAAACAGTGCAGTTCTCCTTCAAGAAGGGGACTGCTATCATGCACGGCACCCTCGATCCGAGGGAGTTTCTGAGGGGTGCCACTCCTCCGCTGGACCGGTCCACCCTCGGCCGGTTTGATGATAAAGCTCTCGAGCTCAAGGCCCTCCAGGCCTCAGTTTCTGTAAGTCCTTGAATTCCCTTGTGATTTTTATTCTTGTGTCCTTCCCTTCGCTTGTGTTCATTTTTTAGGGCTCCTTCGTGTGTTTGCAGGCTAGCGTGGCCCTCGGGGAGTATGTCCGGAGGGTGGACCAAATGCGCCTCCGGAAGGCGGAAGACGACGAGGCCCTTAAGAGGCTCGTTGCAAAGAACACGGAGGCCATACGGAAGATGGCTGGGCTGGAGGAGGCTCTTCGGCAGGCTGACCAGAGGCTGGAGGCTGCCAAGAATGAGGCCAGGGCCGAGGGCATCGCCAAGGGGAAGGCTGAGGCAGAGAAAGTTGCCGCTGAAGCCGCCCAAGCAGCCGCCGAGGAAGCCGATAGGGCCAAAGCCGAAGCCGTTGCTAAAGCCGCCGAGGGTGCCGTTGCTTCTTTCGTTGCCGATGGCTGGAAGGCCGAAGAATACCAGCAGTGGGTGGCCTCGGTGGTTGAGGCCAAAGCGGATGCCTGGGTAAAGGGCCCCGGGGCAATGTGGCTTGCCCTGAAGGGGAAAAGTTTTTATGAGGGCGCCCAATACTTTACTCAGGCTATGCTATACCGGAGGCTTGCTCGGCACCACGGCGTAGATCCGAAGGAGTTTCAGCCTGAAGCCTACGGTCTCCCCCCCCCCTTCTGCCGGATGTGAGGGTCCCCCTCCCTGAGGGTGAAGAGAGGCAGCTACTTGAGGATTCCGAACTGGCCAGGTGTGATTCTGACGATGATGAGGGTGATGCCTCCTCCGAGCTGAAGGATGTCTCCCAAGTAGCTGATACTTAAGATTTTTTGTAATATTTTTGTGGTTGTAAACTTCGGCTTCGGCCACATGTAACCAAACACTTGTTACTTTGAATATTTCTGATGATGAATATATGGGTACGCCCCCGGGAATTTTATTATTGGTGAACATACTTTTCTTTTGAATGAATGTGACATGCCTCCGGGCTTCTTTAATGAATGATTGCCCTCGTCTTTGTTTTCTTTCTTCGTGTATGTATGCTCTCCCTTCTTTTAAATGAATGCATGTTTTTCCGGAGGCCACAAGTTTGTGGACTTAGAAAAATTTTCTAAGTGTAACTCCTTGCTAGCCCCCGGTTGTAGTGTAGTATCGCAAGGGGTTGTCGTGGTGGACTTAGAAATCTTTCTAAGTGTAAACCCAATCATGAGCCCTCGGCCGTAGCGTAGGACCATCGGGGGGCTTGAAGCTGTGGACTTAGAAAATTTCCTGAGTAAGAACTTAGATCATGTCCTCGGTGACTAGGCCCTCGGTAGTGGCGAGCCTCCGACCGTAGTGTAGCATTAGGTTATTGCCAGGTAGATTAGGGGGCCATCGGCCGTACGAAGGTTGGTGAAGATAGTATCCCGGTTTGCCCCCGAAGGGCTCCCCCATCGTGGACTTAGGCAAATTTCCATAAAGCTTCAATAGGTGCCGTAGTGGACCTCCGGGCGTGAGAGTTGCGTGGGCCCCCGGTGTGTACCGTTGCCGAGGGGTCCAAGATTATGGACTTAGTGAAATTCTGAGATTTGTTGAGATCGTTTGAATGAGCTTGGTGATCTTTCTTCCCTTGGCATGAACTTTCCGGTTTGTGTAGGTATAGATTTAGCTTGCCTTAGACTTGTGTGTAGCCTTCGGCGTGGCAAATTTCGGCCTTAGCCAAATTTAGGTGAAGTTTTGCTTAGTGAGCCCTCTTCTTGGGCCTCCGGTGGAATTCTTGTACTCCAAGGCTTCGTGCAGTGAAGCCTTCGGCTATGTAGCCAGATGACTTGTTGTTGAGGGGTTTTATTTCGTCTTTGTAGGATCCTTCGGGAATGCATATCCGAAGTGTTGAGCCTCCGGGGAGAATAGTATCCGGGGAGTTCCTTCCCCCCTACACATTTTTTTTTTTTTTAGATGGTGTAGGAGAGGCATCTAGAAACTTGGTCTCTAGGGAAGGCTTGGCCTATACGGGAGGCAACGGAACAAACCGTTGGCTCCCCCTTCGGGAATGACCTTCCGATATCCCGAAGGGTTTGAGGGTCGTTTCCTCGGCCCGAGACATCGTCTGTTGCCTGCTTCCCCTTGGGAGATAGCACGGAAAGCGCCTCGGTTTTGAAAGTCGTCCCCTCGGCCCGAGACATGGTCTGTTGCCTGCTTCCCCTTGGGGGATAGCGCGGGGAGCGTTTCGTTTGTGGAAGTCGAATCCTGGGCCCGGGACATGGTCCGTTGCCTGCCTCCCCTTGGGGGATGGCGCGGAAAGCGTTCCTGGGAAGGGTTTTATCTGTGTGTGGAACACAAATAGCCGGGGGCACTTGGTACCAGCCGGAGCCGAGGGGTGTTGCACCCCCCGGGTTTTTTTTTTTTTTTTTTTTTTGAGTATGTAAAAGTATGCATAATGTATGCATGACTGCGTCCTCGTGGGGTACGGCTTAGTGAGAAAACACTTGGTGTTTTCAAAGGGTGGTGGGGGTGACCCATACACTTGGTACTTGGTACCTAAATTGTTGTTCCCCCTCATAAGAGGGAATGGCCTTGGGCCTTTCATGGTGAAGAGATGAGGGCTTGGCCACTCATTTGTAGGAGAGAAGGGGGCCTTGGGCCGCTTGTACGGTATGTAGGTGATGAAGGCTTGGCCTCTTCATTATTCTTGAAAAACAGATGGGGCCCTGGACCCTTGATCATTTACATTTGTTGAGGATGAGGGCTTGGCCGCTCATTGATAACACTTAACTAGGTGGTGCACATTCCAATGTCTAGGGACCTCTGTCCCATTAGGGCGTTTTAGTTTGTATGTTCCTGGTTTGATGATGGCTGAGATGATGTAAGGGCCTTCAAACTTGGGCGCCATCTTTCCTCCTTCGGTGGGTAGACTGGCCTCCCTTCGTCGGAGGACGTAGTCACCCACTTGAAATTCCCGGGAGCGGACCTTGGCGTCAATGTAGCTTTTGACCTGTCTTCTATAGTTTTCAACCCTGAGGAAGGCTTGCTCCCGGCGTTCTGAGATGAGGTGGAGATCGAGGGCCATGCTGGCATCGTTGACCTCGGGTTCATATTGCTCCACCCTTCGGGTAGGAAGGGTAACCTCTGTTGGAGCCTTAGCCTCAAAGCCATAGCATAGGGAGAAGGGTGTCTCACCTGTTGCACGCCGAGGGGTTGTGCGGTAGGCCCACAAGATGTTGTGAAGCTCTTCTACCCAGCCTCCCCCCTCGGCTTCCAGCTTCTTCTTCAACCCCTCGAGGAGGGTGCGGTTGGCATTCTCTACTTGCCCGTTGCCCTGAGGGTAGGCAACGGAAGAGAATGTGTGCTTGATGCCCCAAGCTTCAAGAAGGGCGCAGAAGGGGGCCGCCTCGAACTGAGTTCCGTTGTCGGAGATGATTTGTTGGGGGACGCCAAACCTTGTGAGGATATTTTTGAGAAAAAAGTGGCGGCACCGGGCTTCAGTAATGCTGGCGAGGGGCTCGGCCTCTACCCATTTGGTAAAGTAGTCAATGGCCACAATGATATACCTGTTGTTGGAGGTCCCCCTCGGCAGAGGGCCTACTAAGTCAATCCCCCATCTGGAGAAGGGTATAGCGGTGCTGATGGGGGCATAGTTGACCGCTGGCCTGCCGGGGGCCTTCTGAAAGTGTTGGCACGCGGTGCATCTTCGGGCTAGATCAGCACAATCTCTAGCCATCGTGGGCCAGAAGTAGCCCTGAACTATGAGCCTTCGGGACATGGAGAAGGGTCCCTGGTGGGCTGAGCAAGTGCCACTGTGCACTTCCTCCATAGCGACTTCGGCTTCATCTTGATGAAGGCACCGAAGGAGGGTGCCGTTGTAAGATCTTTTGTAAAGCCTTCCATCCTCGAGGGTGTAGCTTGGAGCCCTCAGCTTTGCTAACTTGGCGCGGGCTTCGTCCTGGGGCAGTTGCCCTGTGGTGATGAAGGCGATGATGTCGGAGATCCAATCCTCCGGCCTCAGGTTAATGTTCATGACGGGGCTCGCGTGGATGCTTGAGAGGCTAAGTTCCTCAATTCTTGCAATTTTTGAGAGGTGTTCGGGGGATTCATCCGAAAGCTTGGATAGAATGTCGGCCTCGGAGTTTTGAGCCCTCGGTATTTGGGTAAGAGAATGTGCCTCAAATACCTTAAGCAACTCCTTAGCCGCTTCTTTGTATTGCTTCATCCTTCCTTCCTTGGCCTCGTACTCCCCGGAGATTTGGCCCACGACAAGCTTGGAGTCACACTTGACGTGGATCATCTTGGCCTTCAGGTTCGCTGCTAGCCGAAGGCCACAGAGGAGGGCCTCATACTCGGCTTCGTTGTTGGAGACTTTGAAGGAGAAGCGAATGGCATAATATGCGCGGAAGCCTTCGGGTGTGATGAGGACTACTCCCCCCCCCCCCCCCCCCCCCCGCATGCTTTGGTGGCCGAGGAGCCATCGGTATAGAGGGTCCACCATTCATCAAGAGGTGCCGAAGGCTCCTCATCCACCGCTGATCTTGCGGTGCATTCCGTTACGAAGTCTGCCAGGGCTTGGCCCTTGATGGCAGGCCTCGGACGGATATCTATGTTGTATTGGCTGAGGAAGATGGCCCATTTCACCATCCGAGAGGAGCTAGTGGGACTCCTCATGAGGGCGCCGAGGGGTTGATGAGTGAGCACTTGGACCGGATGAGCTTGAAAGTAGTGGCCAAGCTTCTTGACGGTCCAAACGATGGCTAGCACCGTCTTCTCGACGGGAGAATATCTGAGTTCGGCCTCCCGGAGGGTTTTGCTGACGTAGAAGATGGCATGTTGGATGCCGTCTTCCTCTCGGATTAGTACTGAGCTGATAGCCGCAGGGCTAACGCCGAGGTATAAGTATAAGGTCTCCCCCACCTTCGGTTTGGAGAGCACCGGGGGAGAAGAGAGGTACTTCTTAAGTTCGTCGAAGGCCTCTTGACACTCAGATGTCCATTGGAAGCCAGCTGTCTTCCTCATGATTTGGAAGAAGGGGAGGGCCCTCTCGGCTGACTTAGAGAGGAATCGGTTGAGGGCCGCCAGGCGACCCGTCAACCGTTGAACTTCTTTGACGTTGCGTGGAGGCTCCATGTTGATGATGGCCTGAATTTTCTCGGGATTGGCCTCAATACCCCTTCGGCTCACCATGTAGCCCAAGAATTTCCCTCCTTGTACGCCGAAGGTGCATTTCTTCGGATTCAGTCGGAGGTTGAATTTTTGCATGGTGGCAAAAATCTCCCGGAGGTCGTCGGCGTGGGTGCCGGCCTTCTTGCTTTTGACGATCATGTCGTCAACGTAAGCCTCCATGGTGCGTCCTAGGACAGCTTGAAAAACCCTGGCCACCATTCGGGTGTAGGTAGCGCCTGAATTTTTTAGACCGAAGGCCATCACTAGGTAGCAGAAGATGCCTTCGGGTGTCATGAAGGCAGTTTTTTCAGCGTCTTCTTCATGCATATAGATTTGATGATACCCTCGGAATGCGTCGAGGAAGGACATGATTTCGCATCCCGCGGTCTCATCAACCAGCTGATCAATGTTTGGCAGTGGGAAGGGGTCCATGGGGCACGCCTTATTCAGATCCGTGTAGTCCACGCACATGCGGAAGGTAGGAGGCTTCTGTGCGAGGACTACGTTTGCCAGCCAAGAAGGGTATTTCACCTCTTTGATGTGCTTGATGGAGAGGAGCATAGATACCTCCTTCTTTACGAACTCCCTTCTCTCGGCCGAGAGGGGTCTTCTCCGCTGTTGCACTGGTTTGGCCGAAGGGTCTACCGCCAGGCGGTGGGTGATAACCCTTCGGTCAATTCCCGGCATATCCTCCCGCCCCCATGCAAAAACAATGGAGTAGGCGCGGAGGGCTTTGGTGATGCCAGCCTTCAAGTCTTCGGGGAGCTTGGCTCCAATCTTCAGGACTCTCTCCGGCTTGGCCAGATCGAGTAAGAAATCTTCGGTCTCCTCGGCAG